GGGGGGGGGTCATTTAAACCGCAGGAAGGCATCCTCGGGCTTGCCAGCTGTTATGGATCTACCTGTCCCAATGGAGATAGTGAAATGGACTTTTTATTGTTGTGGAACTACAAGGTTCAGCAGAAGCCAGCGTGCCCCCTCCTTTGGACCCCGGTCCCCTCTTTTAAATCATTGTATATATTGAGCTTTAGTAACCCCTCATGTGGCTTCTTATTCGCAAGGAAGAATATCCATGGGGCAGCATCCAGGCAAATGTTGATTTTCATTTTGTTACCATCACTTCCTTTTTTTGTTGGACTTAATGTATGGACTTTTGTTGTGGAACTACAAGTTCCAGCCTCCCTTTGGACCCCTGCTCCCCTGTATACATCCCTGCTATAGTAAGCCCTCGTGTCGCATCTTATTGGCAATGATGCAGCGTCCAGGCGAATGCTTTTTTATATTGTTTCCATTGATTCCTTTTTTTGTTGGAGCTTATGTACGGACTGTTTATTGTTGTGGAACTACGGGTTCCAGCATAGGCTGGTGTACCCCTATAGTCCCTCCTTTGGACCCCGTCCCCCTTTTAAATCCTTATATATTTATCTAGCTATAGTAACCCCTCATGTGGCTTCTTATTGACAAGTAAGGGTATCACTGATGCAGCATCCGGACAAATGTTTTTTTAATTTGTTACCATCACTTGTTTTTTTTGTGTTTGACTTCATTTAAGGACTTTTTATTGTTGGAGAACTACAAGTTCCAGCAGAGGCCGGTGTACTCCTACAGTCCTTCCTTTTGACCCAGGTGTATATATTTAGCTATAGTAACCCCTCATGTGGCTTTTTTATTCGCAAGGAAGAATATGGATGGTGCAGCATCCAGGCAAATGTTTTTTATTTTATTACCATCACTTCCTTTTTTGTTGGACTTAATGTATGGACTTTTTATTGATGTGGAACTACAAATTCCAGCAGAGGCCAGTGTACCTCTATAGTCTCCCCATGGGACCCCAGACCCCCTTTTTTTAAACCCCTGTATATATTTTGCTATAGTAACCCCCCATGGGGCTTCTTATTGACAAGTATCAGTGATGCACCCTCCAGGCAAATGTTTTTCAATTTGTTACCATCACTTGTTTTTTTATTTGACTTCATTTATGGACCTTTTTATTGTGGGAGAACTACAAGTTCCAGCAGAGGTCGGCGTACCCCCTACGGCCCCTTCTTTGGACCCTGTGCCTTTTAAACCCCCTTTCAGCTCAGCCCTCCTGTGGCTTCTTATTTGCAAGTAAGGAGACTAATGATGCAGCATCCAAGCAAATGTTGGTTTTCATTTTGTTACCTCTGACACTTTGTGGACTTTTTATTGTTGTGGAACTATAAGTTCCAGCAGAGATTGGCATTTCGCTACGGTCCCTCTTTTGGACCCCGGTCCCCCCTTTTGGACCCCGGTCCCTCTTTAAATACCTGTATACTGTATATTTCACTATAGTAACCCCTCATGTTGCTTCTTATTGACAAGTAAGAGCTTTAGTGATGCAGCATCCAGGCGAATGTTGGTCTTCATTTTGCTACCATCGCTTCCTTTTTCTTTTGGCTTAATGTATGGACTTTTTATTGTTGTAGAACTATAAGTTCCAGCAGAGGTCAGTGTACCCCCTACTGTCTCTCCTTTGGATCCCAGTCCCCCTCTTAAACCCCTTTCAGCTATAGCAAGCCCTATAGTGTGGCTTTTAATTTGCTAGTAAGAAGATTGATCATGCAGCATCCAAGCAAATGTTTTTCATTTTGTTATTTCTATCACTTTATGGACTTTTCTTTATTGTTGTAGAACTAGAAGTTCCAGCAGAGGCCAGCACACCCCATACAGTCCCTCTTTTAAACCCCCTTTCAGCTATAGTAAGCACTCATGTGGCTTTTTTTATTGGCAAGCAATAATATCGATGATGCAGCATCCAGGCAAATGTTTTTCATTTTGTTACCTCTGACACTTTATGGACTCTTCTTTATTGTTGTAGAACCAGGGTCCGGATTTACTCTCTCTGCTGCCCCAAGGCCACGTTCCTCAATGCGCCCCCCCTACCCGCCAACGCCCCCCCCCACATGGAGAATGGCATTGCCTGGGTCACTTGTACAAAACAAGCAGCAGCTTCCCCGCTGTACATTTAGCTCTGCTTGCCCAAAGCCGGGCTAAATGTAGAAAACGACAACCCGCCCGGCGCCTGAAACTGCGTGTCCCAGGCATCGAGAGATAGGAATTCCACAACCCTGCTGCGGTTGTGGAACCGGGTCTTGGTTGTGGAACCGGGCCTTGGTTGGCCTTGTGGGAAATCCGGCCCTGTGTAGAACTAGAAGTTCCAGCAGAGGTCAGCATACCCGCTACAGTCCCTCCTTTGGACCTCAGTCCCCCTTTTAACCCATTTCTCATCTATAGTAAGCACTCATGTGGCTTTTCATTGGTAAGCAATATCATTGATGATGCAGCATCCAAGCAAATGTTTTTCATGTTGTTACCTCTATCACTTTATGGACTTTTTTTATTGTTGTAGAACTACAAGTACCAGCAGAGGCCAGCACACCCCTACAGTCCCTCCTTTGGACCTCAGTCCCCCTTTTTTTGAAGCCCTGTAAACATTTAGCTATATAGTAAGCACTCGTGTGGCGTCTTATTGGCAAGTAATAATATCGATGATCCAGCATCCAGGCAAATGTTGGTTTTCATGTTCTTACCTCTATCACTTTATGGACTTTTCTTTATTGTTGTAGAACTATAAGTTCCAGCAGAGGCCGGTACACCCCCCTACAGTCCCTCCTTTGATCCCTCTTTTAGACGCCTTCTTAGCTATAGTAAGCACTCATGTGGCTTTTTATTGGCAAGCAATAATATCGATGATGCAGCATCCAGGCAAATGTTTTTCATGTTCTTACCTCTATCACTTTATAGACTTTTCTTTATTGTTGTAGAACTACAAGTTCCAGCAGAGGCCGGTACACCCCCCTACAGTCCCTCCTTTGATCCCTCTTTTAGACGCCTTCTTAGCTATAGTAAGCACCTATGCGGATTCTTATTTGCAAGTAAGAATATTGAGGATGCATCGTCCAGGCAAAGGTTGTTTTTCGCTTCCTGTTTTCTATTAGTGCTTTGTCACGTTTTATATTGTTTTTTTTTTTTTTCTCATTTGGATTCTTATTTGTAAACAGCCGCAGTCTCCAGGTACACATGAGAACCATCATCTTCTCACGGTCAGGTAATAAGAGGAGCTGCGGATCTTCATGCCTCAGAGCTTCTTTCCCGGCTCACAAAGTTGAAGGTGTGCGGCAGCTCCCTGCTATCAGAGCCCCAGCAAAACCAGATCTGCCGCAGATTGGACTACAAGTCCCAGCAGAGACGTTTCAATTCTTGCGTGGCTACGAGTGGAAGATCCTGTGAACTGGGAAAGCGGCTCACATCTAAAGCCGGCCATACACCTGAAGATTTTTCTTCTTCAGCTGTCAATTCTCCAATCTACTTTAAGCAATGTGGGTGAAGAAATGTCCCCTGCAGGCTATTGTATTCTGGCAGCCGGCGCCAGAGGCCTACAGTTGATTGGCTGCAGTCGCTGTTTGACCAGCAGGGCCACCTATGGATCGAATTTTGGAAGATTCAGTAGGCAACGGCTATATATGGCCAGCTTAAAGCTCACCACACACGTTTGGATCCAATTGTACAATCTCTTTCAGATCTACCAACAACTACACAGTGTAAGGGCCTGCCTGCAGGGCTGCATTTCCCACAAGGCCAACCAAGGCCCAACCTTGGGGCAACAGGGAGTAGAGGGGCAGCAGGGGTGTGGAATTCCTATCTCCTGATGCCTGGGACATGCAGTTCCGGGCGCCGGGCGGGTAGTTGTTTTCTACATTTAGCCCTGCTTTGGTCAAGCAGAGCTAAATGTACAGCGGGGGAAGCCGACGCTTGTTTTGTACATGTGATCTCGGCAGGTCTGCCATTCTCCATGGAGGGGGAGGGGATGGGGTTTGGCAGGTAGGGGGGGCGCATTGAGGAACCTGGCC